AACACTCTGTGAGATCTGTGGTTTGCTTCTGTGTTTGAGCATGCAGAGCCATTCAGTGTCAAGTCTCTGTTTTTTGCCCTTGCACATGAGTATCAATATTTAGTGAAGGCCTCATTTTAGCCTGTACAGAAGATATATCTGCATCAAAGTATCAAGTGTACACACAAAAATGAGACCTGTAACCTGGAATTTCCTCATTTCAGTACAATTTCCTTATGCAAACTGTTGCTTAAACAGGCAGTTGGCTGACTGGAATGGTTCTCTGATGGTGAGTGATGAACCCCTTAGTGTTATAATAAATAATATTTTTCTTCAGAATACAAGAGCTGCAGACAATCAGAACTGCATTTTTACAAGAATATTTGCCTGTGTTTATAACCCCCAGTGATGGAGGCCTGCAGTTATTCAGTGCAGAACATAAACAATGTTTCACTAAAAGGGTTTCCTGTTAAATGACTCCCTGAACAGATTATTTTATGTTAGGACTATCTGATCAGCATCACATTATTTATCTGGAGAAAGAGATGCTCTTGTGAAGTGATCATGATTGAGGGAAGCTATAAAACAGGAGTAAAAAATCCCACGTGATGTGAAAGAAGTGTGATGGGAGCAACTCTTCACCACTGACTGTAGCACAAGAACAGGATTGCCAAGTGAAATATTTTGGCCATTTTTAAACTTTTTCCCTTGCTACCCAGCTATATTGTGATACACCTCAAAGCACCAGATGTTGTAGTTCTTGAAAACATACACAGACAAAAAAATTGATTAAAGAGATAAAAAGTCTGCTAGTGTGTATAAGTCTTCAGCTGGTGAATCCTTAAGTTGCAGATTGCTAGAAACCAGGAGGACACATCTATTTTTACTTTGCTTACATCCTTCTTAAAAGCACCCACTGACAAGTCATGCATCTTCAAGTGGTGTGTTGGCAGGGGCAGATGTTCAGAGCAAAATAGCTGCTCACAGCTTCCAGCTTATGAGAGACTTCCTCAAGTGGTGGTAGCTGCTGGATCTTTGTGCTCAATACCTTTGGACTTTTCCTCTGCTAATTTCTCAGCAGATTTTCTAAGTGACAGAATTTGTGCTTTCTGCTATCCTCATGTACTATGAATTGTACCAGGCACAGAACCTGGGAAAGAAACTGGGAAAGCCAGGGGGTCTCTGCCACACACTCAGGAATAAAGCTGAGCCATCAAGTGCTAGATCTGGTCAGCAGTGATGTGATTTAGTCGATGTCAAAATCTTTTCTTCTCGGAATGTTCCCCTCAAAGCTTTTTCAGTTATCATTCATTGATGAGCGTCATGAAAACAATGTGAGGAAATAATTACAAAATACACAAACCCAAAAAAAAAAAAAAAAAAAAAAAAAAAAGGAAAACAGATGGAAAACCAGCCTGAAACTTTGGGAGAACTGCAGCTCCTCGACGATTTCATTTCCTTGGGTGCCCCCTCGTGTCCATCACCAGTGTAGCCGAATGCTACAGTTTGAACTGACACGGACAAAAAACCCCAAGTATCCACTTGCTATCACCATATAAGGTTAATTCATTTCAAAATCCTTTTTTCCACCCCTCTGTCTAGTAATCCTATGACTTCATCACCAAAGTGTAAACTTTCAGGTTGAGTGCGTAGCTTATGCCTTATCTTGGACTGTCCAAAACCAAAAAAAGGCTTTCTCTGCTTGTATTTTGCCTCAAGTTTTGTGCATTTTCAAACTTCTTGAGTGACTTCATCAACACTCTTAGGCATGATTTTAAGAGGAACAATTCCAGCTGAAATGCCAGAAAGCTGAGGATGCTCACAGAAGCTGATCAAGTTAAGGGATTAAGTTTTGTACACATCAAATATGAAAATATTTCCGATGCAGGCTGGTGTGTTGGGAAACTCAGTGCCCAGAAAGTTGAGTTACAACCAAAAAGCCAGAAAGGCTTTTCTGTTTTCTCTGGCTTTTCTGTCATGTGGCACTGAAGTATCTGCTTCCAATCTTAATGTTCACAGAGGAGGATCTGTCTCTTGAGGAAGTTCATCAGCTTGTCCTGGTGTATTTCCTGATGTGCTGCACAGCATTTGCAGGAGCAGAGCAGGATTCCCTCACACTCCAGGCTGGATTTGTACAGCCCATTTGCATTCTTCCTGATGCTGTAAGAGCAGATGGGGAAAAAAATATATATAATTTTCAAGCAAATGAGAACAGTTCTTCCTTCTCTTTGAAACCTCAACAAGTGGGTGTCAAAACCATACACCTACAGGTGAATAGTATTTGATGTTTTTGGAGGCACAGCAGAAAGGAAATTGGTTTGTCTTGGCTAACAGACATCCTGATCACCACTTTTTGGCACACTTAGGAGCCAAAATAAGAGATATCAAACATGAGTAGGTGAAATGGAAAACAGGTCCTTTCCTCCTCTTATTTAAAAGGACAAAATAAGGTGGGGAAAGGAGCTTTGTCAATACAAATTTTTAAATGACCAGCTCTTACTCTCAGGCTTAGGACAATTTACTAAAAGGTTATTTTTTTAGCCTACATAAACTGACCTAGGGGTTATTAATTCAGCAGGCTCAATGCTATAAGTCAAAAGAAGTTTAGTTAATCCTCTAACAAGCAGAACAGAAAAAGACCTTAAAGAGGTGAAAAATTACTTCTGTTTTGGCCGGTAGAAAACAGTCCTATGGAAATGTTTGAAATATTTAAGGGTATTGTATATGAAAGCTTTCATGAGTGGGAGGCAAAGACTGAAGTCTCCTGGACTGGGAACCCATTTTATTTCATCATCATTAACCTCACCTTATAAGATAAAAATTAGAACAGACATCCTTCTTCAGTATGACATTAAATGAGATTCTTTCTTTGGACAGCAGCTGTATCTTAGGCTTTCACAAGGGCCCTCTGCTGTCCACATTCAAAGTGAAACACTCTGAACTTGTTTGGGATTTAAAAAAAAAAAAAAAAGTCTTGCAACACTTAATTGAAGCACCAGCAATTTTCAAAGGGATGTAAAACCTAAGTCCTCACGAGACAGGACTACATTAGTCTCTACCTAAGTGAGGTAAAAAGAAATTTTTAAATGGAAAGATATTTCAAAACTGCTCACTGCAGGATTTCTTGTGTTCATGCTGGCCTTTTCAGAGCCTATCAGGGATTACTTATCAGGAATATAATTTTCCCCTGATATTATCTACACAGTGTATAATTTTGTGAGATCATGCTTGGCTACTGTGGCACTCATTATCTCATCATCAGCAGGAGGAACTTCAGGAAGGAAATAACCTCCAGAAGCAGAAGGAATTTGGAGATACCCAACATTCTTATTTTAAAAAATACACCTCTGTGAATAGAATAAAAAGAAAGACCAGCTATGTACATAGTGGCACAATCGCCATTATGATATTGCTGTTTTTCTTTTCCTAAGCACAGAACCTTAAGATTTTTAGGCAAATGACATAATTTGAGGACTATAAGATGCTCAGCTTTCTGGATGGAAAGATATTGCTGTAGTGTGTGCCTCTAAATGAACGAGTAATTTTGTACTGGGTACAAATGGAGTTCATGGAGGTCCTGATTCTGATCCCTGGCTGCATCTGAGTCATTTGGTGGAAGACAGATACTGACAGTATTGAATTTTACAAGGTGAAAATTTCTGCTTCGGCATTAATTGTTAATTAATTCTGCATTTCAGAAGCCGACAGATGGAAGTCTATACAAACATCCAGCTACAGCAGCTATTCTGCTCAGCTTCCTTCCCATCTGTGTTATGGTGCCGATTTGCTACATGTGGGCTGAGTGCTAAAGTGAGCAATAACTTGGATGAAAACTGAGTTCTTTGATTCAGTGATTCTGTGAATCATTGAGGACATCGACCCCTTGGAGCAAGTCCAGAGGAGGGCACCAAGACAATTAGAGGGGTAGAGTACTTCTATGTGGAAAGCCTGGGAGAATGGGGATTGTTCAGCCTGGAAAAGAGAAAGCTTTGGGGTGATCTAATTGTGGCCTTACAGTACCTGAAAGGACTCTACAAGAAAGATGGAGAGAGACTATTTACAAGGGCATGTAGTGACAGGACAAGGGGGAATGGATTCAAAGTGAGACACAGCAGGTTTAGATTAAATACTAGCAAAAATTCCTTTACTGTGGCCATGCTGAGGCCCTGGCACAGGTTGCCCAGAGCAGCTGTGGCTGCTCCATCCCTGGGAGTGTTCAAGGCCAGGCTGGATGGGGCTCTGAGCAAGCTGGGATAGTGGAAAGTGTCCAAGACAGACAGATTGGAACTTGATGATCTCTAAGGTTCCTTGTAACCCAAACCATTCTGTAATTCTACAATAATAAACAAGAGTTCCAAAACACCACACTTCAACTTTATGCTGCCTTTGTCAGGCAGGGCTCAAAGTGCTGTAATGAAATAAATTCATTAGGCCTCAACAACTTTCATCTCAGCGTTACATAACGATTGAATAGATTTAAGTGATGAATTTGATTGATGAATTTGATTGATGCCCAGAGGGTGCTGAGGCCCTAGCACAGGTTGCCCAGAGAAGCTGCGGATGCCGCATCCCTGGGAGTGTTCAGGGCCAGGTTGGATGGGGCTCTGAGCAGCCTGGCCCTGTGGAAGGCATCCCTGCCCGCGGCAGAGAGCTGGAACCAGGAGCCGGGGGCGAGCAGGAACCGATCCCCGAGGGACGGGCACCGCGCGGGCCGTGAGGGCGGGAGCGCCGCGGAGGGGCGGGAGCGCCGCGGAGGGGCGGGAGCGCCGCGGAGGGGCGGGAGCGCCGGGCGAAGCCTCGCGAGAGCGGGCGGGGTGGCGGCGGCTGCCGCGCTCCTCCCCGTGCCGGTGCCGGCGAGCGAGGCCTGCGCGGGCCCGGGCCGGGCTGTGCCGGGCGGTGCCGAGCGGCGGGGGCGGCGGCCGGGCCCGTCCCGGTGCGGCGGGCAGGATGCCGGGCGGGCGGGTATGCGGCGCCTGCGGGTGCGCGGAGATCGAGGTGGACGCGGCGCGCGGGGACGCGGTGTGTACGGGCTGCGGCTCCGTGCTGGAGGACAACATCATCGTGTCCGAGGTGCAGTTCGTGGAGAACAGCGGCGGCGGCTCCTCCGCCGTGGGGCAGTTCGTGTCGCTGGACGGTGAGTGCGGCCGGGCCGGGGCAGGGCGGGGCGGGCGGGGGCCCGGGGGCACAGGGAGCGGCGTGTGGGGAATAGCGGGCGGTCTATGAAGAGAGGGTGCTGCGGGCATGGGGCACATGGCAGGAGGGAAAGGGCGCTGGAAGAGGCGTGGGCAGGGACAGGGCGAAGGGGCTGCGGTGTGGGATCAGGGACCCAGCGGAAAAGGACCTGGGGGTGCTGATCGACAGCGGCGGAACATGAGCCCAAGGCGTGCCCAGGTGGGTAGGAAGGGCAGTGGCATCCTGGCCTCTGTCGGGAATAGTGTGGCCAGCAGGACCAGGGCAGTGATCGAACCCCTGTGCTGGGCACTGCTGGGACTGCACTTTGAGTGATGTGCCCAGTTCTGAGCCCCTCGATTCGGGAAGGACATTGAGGGGCTGGAGCACATCCAGGGAAGGGCAGCGGAGCCGGGGAAGGGTCTGGAGCACAAGTCTGCGGCTGTTTAGCCTGGAGGAGGAGAGGCTCAGGGGGGACCTTACCACTCCACAAGTCCTTGAAAGGAGGGTGGAACCAGGTGGGGGTCGGGCTCTGCTCCCAGGGAATAAGTGACAGGACGAGGGGACATAGTCTTCTGCTACACCAGGGGAGGTTTAGGTTGGACATAAGAAAGAATTTCCTTGTGGAAGGGGTGATTAGACATTGAAATGGACTGGCCAGGGCAGCGGTGGAGTCGCTGTCCCGGGAGGTGTGTGAGGAAAGGCTGGCCGAGTGCTCTGTGCCATGGTCTGGGTGACAAGGTGATGTTGTTCAGTCATAGGTTGCACTCAGTGATCTTAGAGGTCTTTTCCAACCTCATTGATTGTGAGATTCTGTGAGTTCAGAGACGGGGCATGGGAACACTGGGCAATGTGGGGAAAGGGATGGGGAGATGCTGTGCCAGAGGTTGGGGTTATGGCCATGCTACAGGGGAGTGAGAACAATGTATAGGGGAGATAAGGACACTGTGCTTATAGGGAGATGATAAGGACAATGTAGAGGGAAAAGGGTATGAGGACAGACTGTGGAAAACCATGTGGTGCAAAGAAGGGATATGGATGGTGCATGTGGGAACTGGTGCTGCACAGGGTGGAAATGGGAGAGGCAATGCATGGGGAGAAGGAGAGCGTGCTGTGCAGGGTGAGACAGAAATGGGGTGGGGAGGCTACAATGAATAGAAAAGAGCTGTGCAGGATGAGAGAGATGCTCTGAGTGTGATGGAGTACATGTGTGAGGGACTGGGGCAGATGTGTGAGAAAGTTTGGGGCTCTGTGGAAGGGTTGGGTGCACAGGAAATGGGGAGGTAGATGAAATTACTTGGGCTAGAGGACAGGAAAGGTTGGGTTGGGTGTTTAATTGAGAGAGGGAACACATAGGGGCACAAGGAGGAGAAACAGGCTGGACATGAAGGGTCAAGAGTCTCCTGTCTGTAGATGGGTTGGGGTGATGGTGTGAATGCTCTGGAGGATAAAACATGGAAAAAAGCCACATCAAGAAGACAACAGTGTTTAGAAAGAGAGAGAAGGAAAATGGATGTGGGGAGGATGTAGTGTTTGAAAGGGGAGAGATGGAAAATCTGTACGGGGAAGGTGGATAAGGAGAAAGAAACATAAGCAAAAGCATGGGAAAGAGCTTAGCAATGAAACAAGTGGCTCTGATGGATTGTATAGCTGTGGGGAAGAAAGAGGAATTCTTTCTGTGGTGGAGAATGCAGCTCTGCAAATTGGAGTTTGGAAGTTTACTGTAGGCTAGGAGTTGTCTGATGCCATTCCTGTCTTCCAACTCAGGCTGCTGGCATTACTTTTTTTACAGCTTATAAGCAGCTCTTGCATCCTTCACTTTTTCCTGTTTTGATGTGGAGACTACATTTTTAAGGGCTTGTTCTGCTTTTTCCCTCCCACCCAAAATTATGCAGGACAGATGGCATGCAAGCTAGAGCTCATTTTGGGATGCCTTTATCCTTAAAAAATAAATCTAAGGAAAAGAAAGAAATGCACCATACTGAGGCTTTTTAGTGGATGAATTGCACAGTACTTAATAAAATTTCTTTAAGGTATAGCCTTTCTTTTTGTCTAAATCTTGAGATGTGATTGTAAGTCTTGAGTCTGTGATTTTGTGAGTGCAGGCCCTGTTTCACACCAGAAATATTTTAAGGAAATTAGGATATGGATGACTTATGCTGGTGCAGTTCTTTACATTCCAAAACAGATGCTTCTGTTGTGAATTTTTTTTTCCTCAACATAAACTGATTGATGTAAGCTAATCTGAAAAGATATATTTGTGCTGCAATAACAGTGTCTTCATCATGTGTGCTTGTCTATTAATGTGTTTATGACTGATTAAAATCCTCTGGAATGGGGAGAAAAGCAATTTACTCTGTAAGAAGGACTTTGTATCTTCCCCAAAGAGTGGAGAATTTACAAAGGAATATATATTTCTTTTAAGTCAGAAACCACATACTTTCTGAAAGCAACATTTTCTGGTAAGTTACACCTTTCAGTGACTTTTGATTATATTAGTAAATTGGCACTAAATTGAATGAAATGCTTTGGTCTGAGGCTCCTTGGACTGTGGTCTGATGATCTCAGAGAGTGTTGCTTTGTGGAGCATTTGCAGTGTCAGAGGTGCCTGGGGTGCTGTTTTTGAGTCCCTGGCTCATGGTTAGTAGGGCTGGGTGTCTTGGGGAATGTTATCTGAGGTTTGCAAAGGATGAGGGATGTCAGGTTCTTTATTGCAGGGCTGGGAATTGAATGAGGCTTTTGGTATTTGTGGAGTTCAGAGCTACTGGTTGTGCAAAAATATTCCTCAAATCCTTTCAAGATCCACAGCAGCTTCTGTTGGTGAGTTATTACATCTTGCATACAGATGCATTTATTAATCATTTATTTTCACCTTCATCATAAAAAAGCAAAAGGGTGTGGAAAATCCTGAGACACTGAATTTTTCTTTTTTACATGTAGAAAAACCTTTTATTCAGCCAAGCTACATGTTAAGATTTCAGAATCTTGAATCTGTTTACTGAAGGAGTGAGTCCTCTACTTCTCTATATTAATATGAAATAGCCAAGTCCTTGCTAATAAGTCATGTAGAATCCCTTTAAAACATTGGAAATCCCTTCTTTTTACTCTCTCAGGGCTGGAGGAAGGTGTGAGATCACAGTTAAGTTTTCTCTGGCAGTATTTACATTGATCTAATTATGTGCCTGGTGTAGGAAGCCTCAACACTGATGCCTTCCAAAGAGAAGTTTGGTGTAGCCAGTGTTTTCCAGTGCAGATGTGTGAGTCCTTTGGAAAGTTTCTTTCCATTTATTTTTTTTTTGATGTTTTAGCAGCTGAGATTTTGGTGTGCTGAGAAAGCCTGGGCTTGTGCTTGGCTGTGAATGAGGGGGTTTGCTTTGCTCTCCATGAAGTGTTGGGAAAATGCAGCATAGTTAAGTGTGTTGGACAAGAGCGTAGAATCACAGAATCATTTAGGTTGTAGGAGAAGATTTTCTTAGGGTTTTTTTTAGATTTTTAAGTTTATCAAATTCAACTGTTAACTCAGCACTGCCAAGTCCATCACTGAGCCATGTTCCTGAGTGCCACATCTACATGCACAGGATGAGCCAAGAAGGTAGAAGTAGTGAAAGACAAAAAATATGGTGTTCTGCACAGGTAAATATAGGGTGACAGTGCTTTTTGGCAAAGTGTCTTGCCTTGAAAATCCTTTGGAGCTTTCTGAGGAAGTTGGTAAGAGGGCAAAGCAGATGATTGGATTTTCAAAGGAAGGTCAGCAAGTTCTTTCACCAAAAATCTTTTTGGTAAGTGGACAAAGCTGAAAGTTGGATTTTCAAAGGAAAGTCAGCAGGATCCTTCACCAGAAACTTTTATAGAATCTGAGCTGTCATTGATAAGGAAAATTCTTTGCAGAGCGGAGTAGCTCTTCAAATGATAGCAAATATACTCTGTAGAGAGTACAGAAGGAGGTGCCAGTGAAATTCCACAGAATCTGGACTGATGATCTGCAAAACAGGTGACTGGTGAGTTAATGGGGTTTGTGGGCAGTACTGAATCATTTGGGGTAGTAAAGACTGCAGAAGGACCTGTTGCTTTTAGTGGATGGGTGGTAGGATAGCAGATGGGATGAAGAGTTGCTGTTAGAGTTAGCATTTTTCCTTTCTTGCACATGTGGGATGGTTTCTTCTTCTACATCCAGACTGACTAGGATGACATTAGAAGGAAATCCCTAGGTCATAATGGATAGCTTTATAAAAACAAATTGCTCAATGCTCATTCATGGTGCAAAAGACCCTGGGTGGGGAGGGGAGCACATGCAGCATGTCTGTACACAGCATTACCTCCAACTGCTGTGTGCAGTTCTGGTGGGTTTCTCTTTTCTTCCCCCTCCCCAGGAAAACCTCTAATAGAACTAGAAAAGATACAGAGAGGAAGATGGAGTGATTAAGAGGAGAGCTTCCTGAAGAGCTTCTCAGTTAGACTGACTGAATAGACTCAGCCTCTTCAGACTGGAAAAGAGATGATTGAATGGGGCCATAGTAGAGATTTGTAAATGCAGTAAAATAACACAGCAAGGATGAGCAGCTGCTCAGGGTCACATAATGCAAAAGCTGGGGAATGCTAAGAAATCAAGCAGCTAACTGATTGCAAAGGTAGTGGGTAGGAGGTTCAGAATCATTAGGAGGTTTTGTCTGGTTGGTTTTGGTTTTTACAGAAACTCCATGTGAATCTGAAGTTGTGGATGTTAAAAGTTTACATGAGCTTAAAATGATTGGGCAGACAGAATAAAAATGTATCATGGCCATGAATAAAATGCATTATTTCTGGTTCAGGAAATCCTTGAGCCACAGATCTCTAGAAACTGGGAGACTATATGAGAGAACTATCACAACAAACTTTCCTCCTGTATTTTGTGCTACCCTTGCAGGCATGTATATTGATGGGCTTTCTCATTCAAAGGTAGGATACTGGACTAGTCTTTCAGTCTGA